ACTAATATCTGGATAATTGGAACGTTTCCTAAGTCTAGTTTTTCTAATATCTCTTCCATCGACTTCTCATAGTTGAAAGTAGACCAGTGTTTCGCTATTGCCGGGTCTGTCCACGGATCAAATTCTTTTGTTTTCACTGGAACTAATTCCCTCCCGCTCGAGATATGACTTCCACTGTCATAACTTTGACGTTCATTCTGGTTTCCACGAGTTCTGAAATTACTTTGATTATTCGTATAATCATTTCTCATATCTGTTCTCGTGTTTTCTTTCTTCTGTTCATTCGTCGATTCATTTGTTTTCAACCATTCTTCGTATCTCTTCTGACTGTTTTCTCGATCTCTCGGTATTCTGCAGTCTCTTGATAAGTGTCCTGGTTTTCCACAATTAAAACAACTGAATGTTTTTCTATTCCCTTTTTGCTCGTTTCCGGCTTTTATATGTCCGGTTGAATTATCTTCTCTTCTTCTTGATCTAAATACAATATCATTTCTTTGATATGTTTTCTTCGGTTCATTCAATCTTCTGAGTCTTTCGGTTGTTTCCTTATTTCTTAAAAATTTTCTAACTTCTTCGGGATTGTTCGCCATTGAAACTTGATTAATTAAATAATTGTCTCTTAGACCAACTCTTATACGGTTCATTACCGTTAATGTATTATCTCCCGGTAATTTCTTTGATAAACCCAAAATTCTCGTAACAAATTCTGACGGTCTCTCATCTGATTTTTGGTATGCATTCGTTAATTCATTATATGCGGTATCTTGTCCTTCGCCTAATCCATACCATTCTCTAAAATTTTCTTCGAAGTCTTCCCAATTTTCGGGATTATTTTCCGGATACTTATAATCGTAAAAATCTAAAGCTGTTCCTTCGAGATACTGATTTACATTCTTTACTTTATTTCTCGAAGACCACTCTTGAGTTTTCGCAAATCTGTTGTAATCGGTTAGCCATTCGCTCGCTTCTTCTTCTTTGCCATTAAATTTCGGCGCTTTTCTAAAATGACTTTTCGGCATTTTCCGATCTTCTAATATCTCTCCTAATCTATCGACTAATAATAACATAGGATCTGATTCTCGATCTTCTTTCTCTGGTGTCGATTGTTTCTGTTTATTTATATTCATCCTTCGAGGCGGTGAATTTATCGCATAATTATCTATCTCTTCATTAATCTGGTCATCCGGTACTTCTATACTCGAAATGACTTTTGATCTACTCTTATCACTTCTCTTCGGGTCTGTTGATATCCAATCAAATTGGCTATCCTTCGGAAACTGTGTCTTCTTATTCGTAATTCCCCAGTCTTTCAATACTCCCTTTGAATATAAGGTTTCTGATCTCTGGTTCTCTACATTTGTAGTCGTCTTTTGTTGAGTATTCTTCTCATTGTCAGAATATATCACATTTCCGGTATCATTAATATGTTTCGTAATCGATGTCTTCAACGGCTGTTTCTCGATAATAATCGGTTCCAGCGGTTGTCTATCTTTCTCTATTATTGTCGATTCGAACTGTAATTTCTTCTGAATTGATTTCAAATCTCTTTTGTCCGTCTTTTTCGGCTCTGTCTGTACCTCTAATATAGGCATTTGCGGACTACTTTCTTTTGCCGACTTTTCGGTCTCTAATTTTCTTTTATATTCGTTCATCTTTTCGGGACTAATAGGAGGTCTACCCTCTCTTATACGGGTTTGATAAACATTTAACTGTTTTAACTTTTCTTCCGTATTCTTAATCTCTTTGTTTATGAATTCGAGTTGAGAAGCAGTTAATATGTCTGCCTGTTCTCGAAGTCCTTCTATTTCTGTGAATTCAAGGTCTGCGTTGTCCATTGCAACGGTAGTACCAAAGAAATCTTCTAATTCTTCATCTATACTCTTATTTTCGTTCTGTAGTCCCGTTTCTTCTAATAATTTCTTAGCTTTCGTCGTATTCTTCTCTTCTGCACTTTCAATGACTGTATCTTCTGATTCTTCATCCGATTCTATTTCGTGATGAGATATAATCATCGAAATATCATTGAGTGTCATATTGGGATCGAATCTATCGCCCAATTTCTCTTTTATCGCTAAGAAATTTCTTACAAATTCCCGTGACATCTTATAAGCTGTACTTCCGGTTCGCAACTTCCGGTTTCGGCTTCTAATCTCTATTTTGCAATACTTTAGTCTTTTCTTTTAATGACAGTCTTTCTCTCTAATATTTGCGGACAATCTGGTCCACCTCTTTGTAGACAATCTTGTCTACCTCTTATGCTGTCTTCTAATTTCTATTTCTTCTGTTTTTGGACAACAGGCGCCTCCACCACTTGAAACGGGCCTGACTTTTATGACCAGTTACAAGGAACTGTAGCTCAGTCGCTCAGCTCAACTTAGGTACTCGGGGATCGAATTCAGACAGTATGTCTGGTCCGATAGTATTGCAGTTCTCGTAATCACCCTTTCGATGTCGCGGTCATTTGTCTTGACTTCAATTACCTGCCGATATCCCTCATACTTCACACTTAAGACAAACTTTCACTCAATGCACACTTCAATTGATGATTAAATATATTTATTAATTATTATATTAATTACATATTAGTTACAAAAATAGAAGTATTATTTAAATTGAATGTTTCATTTGCCTTAAAAATGATTGACAAGTCTATCGACTGCTTTCTTCAAGCGTAGGCAAGAGAGTAAAATTTATTATAGAAATTACTTAAAATTACAAATTATTAAAATAGGAAAATAACTGAATATAGAGTAATTCATGGAAACTTTCGATAAACTTATCAATAATTCTTTCTCTCATATGACTATCATTTCACTCTGAATTACAAATCTATTAATAATATAAAGTTTGAATTATGAATGTATGAAATATCTATAAAAAATCTAATAATTATATTCAAAAATTCAATATAAAAGTTGAGGTATTTTCGGCCCCTTTCATATATTACATACACTTATATACAGTAGAGTACACCTCAAAATAACTGTCAATAAAATAATGATAAATGTTGTTTCTATACATTGTATTTTATATTATTGTACTTTCCTTTAGTAGTCAAAATATATAGTATAATGTCCTCAAATATAGAAAAATTTATTAAATAATAATTTCAACAAATTATAATAACAATTACTTATGTCTAATAATCATTTATCTTACAATAACATGAGTTTATTAATTACTTTTATTAATAGAGATTTCATGACTATTGTCATCTATTATTTATATTATAGTATTTTATAAATTTTATAACATCAATTGTAATATACTGTATATATCAGTAAAAAATGCATTATTACTAAAACTGTTTATGTAATTAAATACTACAGTATTTGTCGATAATTTGAAACATTTTATAAAAAAAACTATTAATAAATTTATTTTCATATATAGTTTCAATTGTTTAAGGATATTATTTCTAATTTCATATATTTTTTTACATTAATCATATTAACAATAATACTGTATATTATATTACATTATAGTATTGAATTAAGATTTATTATTTAAGTATTTATTTGATTTTATTATTCATTGAATAAATTTCTAGAAAGGTAACTATGGATTTATTTCAAATCTACTCAATAATATAATATTACGGTACATATAATATAAATTAATATTAAATATTTATTATTATAACTGTAATATTATAATATAATATAAATAAATATTTTATAATAATATAAATATTATAAATAAATATATTATAAGGTTTTAAAGAAATACATTTATAAAAATTTTTATTTAAATGAAAAATAATGATCTAATTTTGTTTTTAGTTTTACATAAATTTAGAAACTAATTATAAAATAAACTGGTACATTTTCAAAAAAAATATTTAGATCTTAAATTATAATAATAATTATATTATGTTAATTTTTGCAGATTTACCTATCTGAATAATAATAATAATAATAATAATAATATATACATAATATTACCTATAATTACACAAGAGTTGGTCATTATAATAGCTCGGATACAAGTTTAATGTTAGATAAATGTTGTATTATAACATTGAAAACATCAATTATACTCAAATGAATCATTATTATTATTATTTTGTATATAAATACTATTATTATACACTACTATTACACAATGCGTCCAATTATTTTTTAGATATATAGATTTTTACATTATGTTTTATAAAAATGATAAAAATAAATAATAAAAATTTATCAATTTTAACTATAATATCACATAAAATTTTAATTTAATTTAATAATGATGTAGTAGTATTTATATAATAAAAATAATAATTTTTTTCTTTACTTTAATATACATATTAAATATCATTTAGATAATGTAAATATAAATCAATATTTAAAAACTTTTTTTTTAGTTTATAATTTTTATTATATAGAATATTATAATTATACATTTATTAAAATTTATATAACATTAATATATAAAGAAAATAAACTTATTGTATTATTTAAATTTATGTTGAACACAATACAGTATAACAATTTTTGTTTAAACAAGATAAACATGTAGAATATTTTTGTTAAAAAATAATTTTACATTTATTTCATTATATAATAATAATGATTTTCACAGTTAACTATACATTTTATACAAAAAACACAATAGTAGTCATACATATAATAAAAATTAGTTTATCGATATTATATTCATGTTTATTATTAATATTAATTTGTTATTACAATAATTATTTTTAAGAACAAATAGATAATTATTTTAATATAATATAATTATTATAAAAAACTGATTAATATTTTTGTTTATAAAATAAAATTAATGACAATTTTAAAGTTGTGCACTTTGAAAATTAAACCAATTATATTTTTTATATTAAATTTATAAAATTGACGTAAATTGGTGTACAATAAAATGTTTTTGTTATTTCAAATAAAACATAACAAGTAATTATTGAGTTAATCACTGGTTAATACCAAATGATATATTATTATTAATTTTATAAAATAAATATAATATTATTATACATAGATATAATATATGATATATAGATACTAAACGTCAGTCTCAACATTGATGGCTGAATAGTTGGGAACACTATCTCTGATCGGATCCAATATTTTCAGACTACTGTCACTCCTGACCATCAAATCCTTTCGTCGGGGAATCTTTAGGTCGAACCGTTCGTCACGAAATCGATGACAATTGGTTACCAATACTATCGATATGATTACTCCGTAAAAAATTAAAACAATCTTTTTTTTGTTATTAGTAATAATAATAATAATGATAATAATAATTAATGTGTAATTTTTTCGGGTATTATATGACATTAGACCAGTGATGTCGATTCATTTGATGATACCATTGAGTTGAAGCAAAAAGTAAAAAAAGAGAAAAAACATGATATGAGTATATAAAACATGATATGAGTAAATTTATATATATATATAAATAAGAAATAACATTTGTTTTATAACAAATAAAAGCAAATAATAACTATACCAACACACCAACACACCAACACACCAACACACACACACACACACACACACACACACACACACACACACACACACAAACACACACACACAGAAAGACATATAATTAATGACTAAATAATCTCAAAGTTAGAGAAATGATTTTTTTTCTTCCACTCAATTCTTTGATGTGTGTCTTATCTATAGGTTTAACAGCAATTTATTATAAATGAAATAATAAAAAATTATTAACAAATGATTAATACTACTGTATACGTGACATTAGCCAGTATATGAAGTGTATAATTTTTCTCGACTACTGTACTTGTATTATATACACATTGGTTTTGAAATTATTGTATACAAAAGCAAAATTTTTTTTTATTATACTATAGAATTTGCTAAATAGTTTTTTCTATATATAATATTATTGAGATTATTATAGTATTAGGTATTGTTAAGTCATTAAATCAACGATATATTATGAATGCTTACAATAATATAGATGATGGCATCAATCTTTTGCTGTATAAACATATCAGCCAATTGTTGTTCAGACAAATCATTGCGGGTGTGAACGGCTCGAGTCAGCAAAGTATGGTTACAATAGATCTGCGGTAATCTATTGGATATATTAAAAGATAAATAAAAGACAAAAATAAAATAACATAAAATAAAAATCATTCAAAAATTCTAATGTAATAATTAAAATGAATAAATGATTTAAAATTACTAAGATTTTTATTATTATTATTAAATTTTAATTATTTAAATTAATATTATGGTAATCTGTTATTAGTGTACTTTTTGATAATTTATAATATAAATAATTAGCTAAATGAATAATAATGTTTTTTAATTACAAATAATTGCGTAAATATTATAATTATATTTGTAAATTAATGAGTAATTTGTTATTATTACTATATATTATAATTATTAATTAACAATAACTAACATATAACTTAGTATGATTGACACTAATACATGTGTATTACACTAATACTTAATTAAAGATTAATTGCTTTAATTACTTTATTATCTAAATACAGTATTTATAAATTTATTTAAAATCATTCACACAAATAAATAAATTATCATAAGTTACAAATAATTCAAAAATGATTTATTATAATATTTTTTGAAAACCACATATGATTACATAAACAATTATTCAATAAATAGTTTAAAAATCAATTTTATTTGTATTTACACTTCAAAAAATCTGTCACAAAAATATATATATTGTGAACTTATTTTTTCAAAATCCCTTATAAAATAGTTTATATACGAAATATTCATCACATATCCATACAGTATATTTAAACATATAAATGTTTGATAAATATAATATTGATTTCAAAAAAATAAAAAAATAAAAAAATAAAAAAAGAGTAAAGATTTATACAATTTATCGACGGATAATATATATTATATTACTTATAGTTCATATATCTATATATATTATATCAAATATTTAACGTACAATTTAAAATCCAAGAATTTATTTGATTGAATGAAATTGAATTGTCGGCTAAAAAAAGTCAAACACCAGACATAAGGCTTTTTATAAAAAAAGATCCGGTTTTTTGTGTATATGTAATATTCAACCAAACATTCATACACTTTATAGCACTTATATAATACTGTATTACACATGAAATATATCGATATATAAATTTTTTATATATATTTACAGTATATAATATTCTGTTGTATAAAAAATGCCTCGAGTTATATATATAAAAACGATTTAAAAAACTTAAATATTATAGTGATGTGTTGCCAGTTATCAACAAAAAATATCACTAACTTTGAATTTTATATTTTATATAAAGTGTATGATATTTTTTTTAAATCAAAATCTTTTTGTATATATCATTAAAATGCAATAGTTTTATTTATTTAGTAATCGATTGAATGGATGACATACAGTATGAATATTTATAAAAATACAAATATAAGTTTTAATTATCAAAATTTTTACATACATTATTATCACAAATTGCTACAATTATTTTATATGAAATTTAAAAGCAAACATATTTGTAATATTATAAACCTAAAGTAATTGGAAATTTTTTAATTATTTATAAATATTACTTTAGTAGTATGTGTTTTACAAATATTACAAAAATAGTTTTATCTAAACATATTCTATAATATATTAATGCTTTAATTAATTGCAATGTAAATGTAAATATCTCTTATCTATAATTAATGTTTTTGAGTGCTATAATAAAATTTAGGATTTGTTTGTAAATTAATAGCTAAATAATTATATGATAACACACACACACACACACACACACACACACACACACACACACACACACACACACACACACACACACACACACACACACACACACACACACACACACACACACACACACACACACACACACACACACACACACACACACACACACACACACACACACACACACACACACATACATACATACATACATACATACATACATACTATATATACATAAATAGATACTACAGGCTGTAGTCTACAGCTTATTATAGTTGTTTAGTCACTCATAAGCCATAAGAAATGTGTAAAAAGGTGTAACAAATTATGTGATTGAATTGTATTTCATCATTAAGTCTATCATTAGTTTCGAGTTGTTATTGAGAGGCATAACAATTGGGTCTTACGATTGAATTGTCTGATATTTGGGTTATTTGGACATTCAATACAATTCAATGTGTTTTATAAATACAATATATTGCATACTATATACTACACTATATATCGTTTACTTATTACAGTACAGTATGCTGTATATTGAATACACTGTAATTTATATACAATCTTATAAATGTTGGACATTATGTATATATTTAAAGATGTACAGTACATACAGTATATATATATATATATTGTATATAATTTGATGTAACTATTTTTGTTTTTGTTGTCTAACTTTATAACTATTATCTTAATTGGATTTTACGTTAATTAAATTCCGGACCAAATACTCGGCGATATTTGTGTATTACTTTTATACTATTGTTTTAGTTATATTTAGCGATTAAGCGCTCAAATAAAACAAAAATCAATATAATTGTCACTCGTTTATTATTACAAAAAAATAAATCTTAAACTATTAAGTCCTACTACTACTACTATACATATAATTTAATACACAATATATTGTAATACTTTATATGTAGGGCTTAAATATTAGATCTAATAAACTATAGAATAAAATTGTATTAAAATATAGTAATGTATTCATGTTATATACAATATATACAGTAACATACATTATTTTTTAAAAATAAATATCAAAAATCAATGACAAAAAAAATAAATTGAATATTGATTTCAATGTACTCAAAAATAAAACATTTTCCTACTTATTCATTATCAAATGAGTTTTTATATACTTTTTATTAACAAAAAAATCTAAAGTTAAATGTCGGCAAACATAAGTCACAAAGCATTTCATATGTCAAACCATTGAGTGGTTTAATAAAAAGTATAGACTTTATTCAAATCTCAATGCAAACAGTTTTTGTTTGATTTAAAAATTATCTGGGATTCAGAACTTTAATTTTGTCAAAAGACTAGTAATTTAGTAAATATTTTTTCAATAAATCTATTTTTATATAGTTATAAAAGTAATTGAATTTTTTTTATAGAATAAAAATAATTTCAAATAAAAGTTATTTATAATAATTTTTAATAAGCTATTTTTATTGTTACACATTATCTATAGAACAAAATTAATAAACATATTTTTTTGTATTATATGAAAAAAGTTATGAAAAATATTTTAGTACAATTTATGTAATAAACTAAATAAAATTTTATTAAAATTCAATTGAAGTCAATTTCCAAAATTGATAGCTGATATTAACAACACATTTGAAATCAGTATATATTGAAAAAAAAAATCTATATTATATAAAAACGATTTGATATTATTATTATTTTGTTTGTGTCTTTTGTAATATTGAGTTATTATTGAATTGAATGTTAATATAATACAGTAATGTTAGCTAAAATTGTAGTAAAATTAGGAAAAAAAACTTCATTTTTTGTCAATTTTTACGATTCACTTAAATCCGATACACATTTACTGTAGATATTAAAAGTACTATAGATTTATATTCATAGTATTTGTTAGCAGACATTCAATAATTTATAAACAATTTGCTCCAATAATTTCATAATAAGATAATTTGATAAAATATAGCAAAATATTTTTGCCTTTCAATATAATTGTAATAATTTAATGCATATAATTAATTTTATTTCATACACATTATAAATTAATATTTTTATTTTATACTTATAAATCATATAAATATTACTATAATATTTATAAATTACACAAATAAATTACTTAACATAATTTTTTTACAATTAAACACATAATTTTATATATTTATTTATATATTTTAATATCTATTTTTTGTTGCCAATTATCTATTTGTTTTTAATTAAATTAGTTTTTACATTACTAAACATAAAAATTAATAAATAATATTTGACTTATTTTATTATACTATGTTAGCTAAAACTTTCCTAAAATAATTTATATTTTATAATTAATATAAATATCCTATTATTAGATTAATATCTCTAATGACTAAAATACTCTATAACTTATAAATAAAATAAGTTTCTATATTTATATATATAACATAAAATTATTTGATAGTTGAAATATTATAGGTATTTTTTATTTTATTATTAATTTTTATATAAAAACATAAAAAGAAATATCTATTAATAAATATTTGATATATTATTTATTGATTTTTTTTGCAAATATTTATAAATACTAAATAAATTATTAAATATAAAATTTAATTTGATTTATTTGTACAGTAAATATAATAGACTTTTACACAAAACTATATTATATAATATAAAAGATAAATAAAAAAGTTTTCCGTCTCATTAAGCGCTATATTAAGCAGATCTCTTTAATAATTATACAAATAAATAATTTACACATTATATTGTATTTTATTTGTGTTTATCTTTATTTTGATGATAATTTTGAATTATATAAATCAATACAATAATAGTAAACTGTATATAATGTGTATAAAAATACTGATTATTTTTAAGACTAAAACATTCACTTATATAATGTTTTAAAAATTTTTAAAACTAAAAATAAATACTGTATAATTTTATTTATACAAAACACCATAATATTATTTTAGTAAATTATGTTTTTTTCATTTATTTAGTTATTTTGTACAGTATTTAATAATGTTGAAAGACTATATTTTTTTGTATTAATTGTATCATATATTCAAAATGTTCATTGAAATAAATTTAATAATTTTTATTTTATTAATATACAGAACTTTTGAATAATGATGATAACTTGTTTAATGATAATATTTATGATTCATTATGTAATTACTAGAATAGCTTAACAATAAATAATAAAAATATAATATAAAAAATCAATAATAAATAATTATATAAAATATTGTTATAGTTATTGTTTAATTAGTATTATTATTATTATAGCTATTGTATTAATTTTGACGCTAAAACAATAACTATATATAACAATATTATGTCATAATTTATTAATTTTAGTTTTATTATATAATATCAATAAGTTTTATTTATAT